TTCAAGAGCTTCCCTGAGCTTTCTGCTACATTCCATGGCATCAGAGATGTCTTTTCTGAGGGAGAATAGTCCTTATCCTGTCTATAACTTCCTTCATTTGAGAACACACGTGTAGTTTCTCCCATGTGGTCCTTCTCAATAACTACAAGAAGCAGGCAGAACAGGGGGATTTTCCTCCATCTGGCATCCTCTCGCCTTGCCAGGGCAGGGGACTCACAGACCAAGCCCTTCCCTGGCTGCCTCCCCTGTCATCCGTTCCCATCAGAGGGCTGTGGCCTCTGGCTGGGGCAGGGGGAGGTACCTGGTGGGTCTGATGCTCCAGCTGCTGGTGTTCTCCAGTGGAGAAGAGGTGCCTGTAGCAGGCGTTACTCAACCACCCACAGGCTGGGGTTTCAGGCCGCCTGAACTGAACGCACACAGCTGGTGCCACGTAACTAGCTAGAACTCTCTCCCAGATGAGCTGGAATCCTTCCTCCCCTCACCCTTAACAGAGCATGGCTTGGGCAAATTACCTTCAAGACTCCTCCTTAAGAAGACTTTTGTCTGGGCGCAGTGGCTCATGCCTGTAACCCCAGCACTTTGGGAGGCCAAGGTGGGCAGATCATTTGAGATCAGGAGTTCGAGACCAGCCTGGCCAACATGGTGAAACCCTGCCTCTACTAAAAATACAAAAATTAGCCAGGCATGGTGGTGGGCACCCTTAATCCCAACTACTCAGGAGGCTGAGAGGAGAATCACTTGAATCCAGGAGCTGGAGCTTGCGGTGAACCGAGACCACACCACTGCACTCCAGCCTGGGCGACAGAGCAAGACTCTGTAAAAAAAAAAAAAAAGTCTCCTTAGAGAGAGTATGATTTATTTTTTAAAAAATAATAATAACATTCCAAATGTGATACCAGGAAAGCAAAATAGGACTCAGCATTTCCTCTGTGCTCCAGTGAAACTGTCAGGCATCTGGAGGAAGCCGTTGGGTTCTGGGGCCCTGGAGGTGAGGCGTGTTCTTCTCTTGCTGCTTGAGGGTCATTGTGTGGTCCTGGGGACGTGGCTGTGTATGAGTTGGCAGGAGGAGAGACCCTCCCAGGGCCAGGTGGGGTTTGTCTGGATCTCTGGTCAACCCCTGTTCCCCCCAGTTCCTGTTACACAAAGTATTAGCCTCTCATTATCTCTCTTTTGAGTGGTTGAGTAACTTTCCATGAAGCCATTGGATTTGGGAGTATGTCCCATTGAAAACGATACAGTCCGCAGTGTTTAACGCTCCTCCCTTGACCCCGTGCAGTGTTGTGGACTCACATTGTCTCCTGACGTCAGTGAAATTAAGTCATTGATTGAAACGTCAAGATTCAGCACTGCCTCTGACATTACATTAGATGAATCACTGCCCTTAATCTCGCCTGGTCACTCCTGACGATTTTCTCCTAAGAGGCATCTGTGCATTTGAAATCATTAGGCCTCTGTATGTCATTAGCTCCCTCCGTCCCCTCCGGTTGGAGTAGAAGCCCCATTTCTTACGCTGGAACAAAGCGCTGAAAAACGTGCAGTTCAGCAACAAACCCTGTCTGTGAGTGTCCTATGTAATTCAGAAGGACACATGCCACTGCTTACATTCAGGAAGCACGTGGTGGTGCCCTAGGACATGGGACAAGGGGACACAAGGAGACACGGAGATTTGCCAGCCTTCAGGGCCAGCAGTAGCAATTCAGATAGCAACAGCCTTTGCTTATCCAGCTCTTCATTCTCCGCCCCTTCAGTTGTCGAAAGCCCCCCGCCCCGTCTTCATCAAACATCTGCTGATGCCTGCTCCACGGGTCCTCTTGTTCTTTATGTTCTAAGACAGCCTTGCTGAGAGAGAGACACTGAGGGCAGAATACAAACGAGACCTCAGGGATCCAGCAGGATTACTGACAAGCTACCAATGCTTCATCCAGCGAAGGGGGTGGGTTCTGACCCCAGGAGGGCACGGAGTGGACACTCCGCACTTTCTTCCCAGAAGTGGAACCAGCACAGCGCCTGGCTGCCCTGCTCTGAACAGGCGCACATATTTATTGTAGGTTGATCATGTTATTCAACCAGATCTGTAGCCTAACATAATTAATAGAGCACTTAATTGAACTCTGTTTGGGCATGAGACTGGGGAAAAGAAAGCCACTCAGTGGGTCTTTTCTAGGAGTGCTGGTGGAGAACGCCGCTGGCTGGAGTTCAGGACCTTGGCGGCCCTCCCCCTTCCACTGAGTGGGCTGGGGTCAGGTAGGAGAGGGAGGTGTGTGAGCACGGGGGTGGGGTTGAGGCCTTCACATCAGATTCACACCCACCCTGCCTTCTGCTCCCACCCCGCCCATAAGGAGACACTTCCTTGTGAAAGATCTTGAGCTTGGCTGACCACAGCCGTCCTGGAGTGTGAAATACAGAAGCCAAGCGGTATTTGCTTTAAGACTTTTATCAAAACTCCTGCCTGCTTTTTGTACTAATCGTGATGACTTGTGCTGCTTTATTCTTATTCCAAAAGTAATGCAGAGTTAGTAACATTTCTAAATTAAAAACAAGCAGAAATAATACAAAAACCACCCATAGTGCCACATTTCGAAAGTAAGCACCATTTTTACCTTGTTATAGGTCCTTCTACAGTGTCTTCCCCACTGTGGTGATTCTTATTTCACCATAAGCTCATATCAGTTTATATCAAAAAGCTGTATTTTTTTCTCTTTATCATGTATGACAATTGCAAACTTTTTTTAATGTCAAGAAAGTGACAGCTCTACTGGAATTCATTTTCCAAGGGTGACTGTGAACAGTTTAATGCAAGGGCTCCAGTCATCCTTACGGATTCACAATTTTCATAACAAAAATGAAGATGTAATATGCATTCTGCTGTGTGACGTGTTTTCCACTTAACAATATGTCATTTGCACCTTTCCATGACAGTGACACCTCTTGTTTCATTTGTGCCTCACTAGAATTCCATTATTCAGGTGGTTGGTGAGTTGGGTGACCAGTGCCCTAGGTGAGGGCTGTCCACACGCTGCTCCTGGGTCTCTCTTGTTCTTCTTCCCAGAGTCCTCCAGGCGAGTGGGTAGGCGTCTCCCTACCTTGTTCTTTCCATGCCTTTAGTGCCTGAAAATCTCTCCACTTCTCACATCCCCTTCTTGTCGCTCCTCTTTCTGAGAGATCATAGCTTAGGGACTGAACTGTAATTCATGGCAAATAGAGAAAAAAACGTGAAAAAGAAACAGAATGTATCAACTTATTCTTCTCTGGAGAGCGGTAGCAATTTGAGGGATAGCTGAGGGTAATGTGATGGATAAGATTTTAGACTTCACAGAGCAGGGGCGGTAAATGCAACCTTGAAACATGATTCCTAGAAGTCTCTCAGAACCTGCTATCACAGAACCTATACATCCACACAAGCGCTGGCCTCAGATTTAAAGATGATTTTTGTCTGTGGCCTCCCAGAAAGGCTTTTCTCAGTGTCACTGCTATCGCCCAGGCCAATGTTTTCATCTCTCTTGGGAATTCTCTCCTGAGTCTTTGAGCCAGTCTTTGAAAATTATCATGTGTGATGAATCTTGATTCTTTCACAAGGGATTTGAATGATGGCGTTTTCTATTTGGAAATAACAAAAGCTCTCTTTCCACTTTATTGTTTTGTTTTTTCCCTGACAATTTCCAGAAGGATCCAAAGCAGTAATAGAAGTTATGCGGAGTAAAAACAAAACAAAAAATTATTTAGATTGAAGGCAGGGTGATCAAGATAGCTGATACTGATTACGGGAACAAAATAAGGTTTAACACTAGGCGGCGGGTGTCCTTAACTTACCCTGAAGGCCCTGAAAAAAGGTGAGCTCCCAAAACCGTGAGCCACGGAGGCATGGCTGGAATGAGGTCATGGTGTTGCCAAGGCGCTACCTTTGAAGGACAGCACTTCTGGGTAAAGAAGCTTTGTCAGCGCATTTTCTAAATAGTAATCTAGCTCAGTGACTTCATAGTCATTCCGAAGTTCAGTGTCATTACAAATCATACCATTTTGGACATTTGGGGAAATGTTTCCGATAGTATACCTTGGAGTCATTAGAGAAACTCAGGGTGTGAAAGAATATCTCTGATGTACAAGCTTCAGTTCAGGGATGAACTGGGCTGTGATGGGGCCAAGCTCATCTCCCTGGGGCGGACACAGGTCTATGCTGAGGCGTTTCCAGGGGCTTCTGGGCTGGGAGTTGTTCCTTCACTGGCTTGGTCAGGACGGGTCCCTATATTCAAGTTCTCCATGCCGTGGGAGGCTCCCAGACACCAAAGGCTCGTGGAAATGAACTGAGCGGCACTAAACCCAACCTAAAGCATTGGGTGCACAGTGTTCCAGAGACTCCTTTCCATGGGAAGAGGGACGTGGGCAGAGGAGCTGAGAAGCAGCCATGGGGATGGCTTGGACATCTCTGTAGATCCCGCAGCCACCAAGACAGGCTAACCCCGATCTCTCTCTGTCTCTAGAGAGGACGTGGAGACGAGGAACTCTGCTTTCCTTTTCTGGCCACTAAAAGAAGCGGACACGCAGGATTCCGGAGAGCCAAGACCCGAGAAGCCCAGGGGGAAAAAGAGGCCCGCCAAGCAGCCTCCTCTCCAGCAGGCGGCGCCCTCGGACTCGGACGGCTCCTCCCACGGCACCAGCTCCCACGGGTCCCGCCCTGGGACACACCCCGAGCCCGAGGTTTGGGTGATGGGGGGGAACACCCTGAAACCCCTTTCGAGAATGGCGCACCTAACACCATCCTCCAGCTTCTGGGCCTGTTTAGGCTCCAGTGCAGCAAAGACCCTACCTACATCCTTAAGTAATGGCGATCTCCGCTTCCCCAGACAGCCCAGCTCCGCCTCCCCGCGGCCGGGCGGCGAGGCCTCCACAGCCGCGCCATCATGGCCGCGCCTGCACCTGGAGCAGCCCTGCCCGGAACCCTCCGAGCCACCCACAGCAGCCAAGGGCTGAGGAGCGCCCCGGAGACACCTTGAGGCCGTCTGGTGGCAGCGGCGTTTAAGAGACCAGCGCTCTTCCAGGCTGCTCAGCCCTCAGCCCTGACGCTGGAGCCGGCCCCTCCGCTGAGGTAAGGCCGCCCTCCGCGCCGCGCGCGCCTGCCCCGTCTGTGGTAAACTCCTCTCCCCTCTGTCCCTGCTGCCTCCCCTGCCCGCTTGACCACACTGGTTCTGGCTTTTTCTGACGGTTCTTTATCCTGTTTTCCGCCGGTAATCACAAAATTGTATTCCATCTTCTGGTAGACGCCCCACCCCCAGAAGTTTTAACCTGTAAGGTGACTGTCACAGGACTTTCAGATTGTTTACAAGTCAGCGTAGTCAGGATCCAAGCCGGCAATCTTGTTTTAAATTAATTATCACATCTAAATTAGAGATTTTGTCACCCAGTGTTGGGACTGAAATTCAGACCCAGTAACTTGTCTGAGATCTGCATGACCGAACATCCCCTGCTGTATTGTTTCCTGCCATTTTCGTTGAGCCTTTCCTAATTATTTTTGTCTGTAGTCTGTTGTAGGTAACTCTAACTGAGCACGAAACCAGAATAAAAACTCTTACACTGGAAACATTTCAAAACCATTGGATTGTTGGATTGTTTATTTGTTACCATTTTTCTCTGAACACATTTTAGCAACGACATATGAAAGTATTCAGTTGTGTTTACTAACTTCAAAAATGAAATCGCTCCATCAAATTTCCTTTTGCTAGTCAGTAAGATCCCTGAGGCTAGATGAAAACAGAGCACAGGTCATCATTAGGGAAAATATTGGATGCTTTTTGCAAATAGAACAGATAGGGCAGAGTTCTGATACTCTAAAAATCTACAATCCAATTAAAAGTGGCATTCACATTCCTGAAAGCTAGGAGTAGCCAGGGTTATGGTGAAGAAATTAAAGGACTAATCCACTTCTGAAAATATGAAAAAAAAATAAGGGACATTCGCTCAGCATCAGGCTAAAAACAATAATGCAGTGAGGAAGGAACTGAAGAGTGAGGGAACTGTTTGAAACAAGGCAAGGAACAGTGCTTGTGGGAGGCAGCATGCGTCCTAGAACTCAGACATTCCCTCCCAGCAGGAAGGCTCTGGAGCAGTCTCCGCTAATGAGAGTTGTGTCCTGGAAGGAAGGAAGGGTATGAGGGTCTGAAAGAAGCGAGGTCTGAAGGAAGCAAGGTGTCTGGTCTGGAGAACTAGTGGACCAGTTTAGAAACCCACCCAGTCATAGGCATTGGTTCATTTATTCATGCAAGCATGCACGTGAGCCTGCGTACATTCATTCAATTATTCAACAAGCAATTGAGTGCTGACAGCCTGCCAGGCTCCAGAGAGATTCCAGCAGACACTTGGAAGGTGGTCATCTTCCCTCTGTACCCATCTCACTCTCCTCATCTCCACTCTTATTGGAACAATCACTGGTGTCTGGTGGTGGGGTATGAGCAGAGACAAATGACTACAGGGCAAATATATACAATACTAGTTGCATTGGTGTTACATTGCAGTGCACGAGGCCATCACTTGATGTGTTCAATGATAGTGCCTACTTCAGTGTAATGGAGGAAGTTGCAATTACAATGGTGAACTTCCACCTCCAACCAATACAGAATGGCAGCAACTAGATTTACACTCCCATCAAAACAACTAACACACCTGCTAAAATGTATGTAACAACAGTTTCCAAAACATTGGCCGTCAGGTGATAAGGACGGTGCTCATAGAGAGACAAATGTGATGAGCCCTGTGCACGTCCCAGTTGCTTCCTGGAGACATTTCCAGGTTGCAGCATAGGGAGAGGGAACCCAAACACAGCCTGGCAGCCTCTGTGAGATGAGGGGATGGACATGGAATTCTGAGGAGACCAAGGCAGCTGGAGTTTACCAGGGTCAGGGCTGGTGAGCAGAGAGCTGCAGAGAGAAAGCTCACTGGAGACCTGCAAAGTGGCCCTGTTGAGTCTTCAGCTAATAAGTACATGGCTGTGAGGAAATTACTGAAGACCAGAGAAAAGACTACTCAAAATGATTACAAGGGACAATTCCTATGGTTTACACAGGGCTGGGAATATCTCCTGTTTCCTTCAGCCAAAGTGGAAAATATTATTCATGGGGCATCGGATAAAGTATTCAGGAATTTGTCTCAATAGTGGAGCAAAACTGGCATTTGACTAAATGCTTCCATGGTCCCAACCTAACAAAGCTGAAAAGCAAGCCTGGTAAGGATCAAACCTGTTTCCAAATACCTGTGTCCCAGAACAAAGATCGAGGATACTTATAGGGATGCAAAAATATTCACCATCCAACAAGGTAAAATTTACAATGTCTGACATCCAATCAAAGACTGGCCTAAAGACAGGCATGAAAAACAGCAGGAAAATAACCCATAATAAAGAGAAAAGCTGGCCAAACGTGGTGGCTCACACCTGTTATCCCAGCACTTGGAAGGCCGAGGTGGGCAGATCACCTGAGGTCAGGAGTTCGAGACCAGCCTGGCCAACATGGTGAAACCCTGTCTCTACTGAAAATAAAAAATTAGCTGGGTTTGGTGGCTTGCACCTGTAATCCCAGCTGCTCAGGAGGGGAGGCTGAAGCAGAAGAAATGCTTGAACCCAGGAGGTGACTCCGGAGCAAGAGTCCATCTTAAAAAAAAAAAAGAGAGAGAAAAGTCAATTGGAATCAGCTCCGAATGACACAGACAATGAAGAGTACTAGAAATGGCAACTGATGGTATATATATGAAAGACTTTTTTTCTTATTATTTTAATCTCCTTTAAAGATAATTGGCTTTATAGAATAATGGCAACAGTACATTAATGCATTTTCATAAATCCCTGAACATGCACCTGGATGCTTTCAATGCCTCAGATGATTTGTGCATTTGATTTTTTTGCTGAATAAATCTGTACTTTTAGCATATACCAGAAGTAATAAAGGGGGTTCAATTTGTTAAACACACTCACAGACACACACAGTAATAATGATGATAATAATAATGCCTATGTATCTAGATTTTATGGCCACCCTGTATAATAGGCCTGGATCACAAGCCAGGGGCCATGGGTGATTGCTATAGGAATGGAGTGATTGAAAACCAGATGTAAACTATGTGGAATGGGTACGAGGTGAATCCTTGAAACAGAAAGATGTTCTTCAGAAAAAAGGGAACAGATATGCAAAAGGAGACTGGATCGCCAATTAAGTGATGTAAAAAAGATTCCATGCATCAAGTGAAAGTCATCTACATACTTCTCAGCTGCTTTCCAACTCTAGGAGTCTACAGCTCAATGACACAGTCTATTACCAACTCAGAGCAGTTCCACATAGAGGAAAAACTGTCCTTATAAAAGGTGGGTGGGTTGTAGCCAACAAAACTAGTCAAGAGAAATCAATTAGAGGAATAATAATTGGAAAAGAAGAAGGAAAATGATGTTTGCACATGAGAAAAGACAACACCTGAAAAACCTGAATCAATAACACTAATCCAAACAAAAGAATTCAGTGAGATGGATATAAATTTAATACATAGAAATCAATATACACAAAGCATGATCGATTAGAAGATATGTTGATAGTGAAAAACCTCATTTACAATAGCAACAAAGAAAATAAAATGCAGTTGATTCTCACTATTCATGTAGTTACATTCTGTAAAGTTGCATCTAACACTGAATACTGAATCATTGCTCCTAGGGGACATACAAGATTAGGTTCCTGCAGGCCTCTGGTCACCATATTTTCATCAACTAATCAATACATAACTTTGTTTTATGTGTGTTTCTGTTCAAAGATATCTTAATATATGTTGCTGACTCACTAACATACTCATGCCCAACCCTATAAGCGTGTTTACAGTAGGAGAACTAAAACAAGAAGGCAGTAGGTGACTCAGATTTTTTCACTTCTGTGAGCATGCGCCTGTCTGCAAACATGCTTTGAGCATTGGTTTTGGGGTTACAACTAAGTTTTAGCAGTGATATGGTTTGGATTCGTGTCCCGGCCCAAATCACATGTCAAATTATAATCCCTCGCTGGGCATGGGGGCTCATGCCTGTAATTCCAGCACTTTGGGAGGCCAAGACTGGTGGATCATTTGAGCTCAGGAGTTAAACGCCAGCCTGGGCAACATGGCGAAACTCTTTCTCTACAAAAAATTAGCTGGGTATGTTGGCACGTGCCTGTAGTCCCAGCTACTTGAGGGTGCTGAAGTGGGAGAATCGCTTGAACCTGTTAGGCAGAGGTTTCAGTGAGCTGAGATCATGTCACTGTACTCCAGCATGGGCAATGGAGCAAGACTCTGTCTCAAAAAGAAAAAAAAAATTGTAACCTGCAATGTTTGAGGAGGGCCTGGTGGGAGGGTGATTAAATCATGGGGATGGAGTTCTCATGAATGGTTTAGCACCATCCCTCCTGAGTACCGTATAGTGACTAAGTTCTCATGAGACCTGGTTGTCTAAAAGTGTGTAGCACCTCCCCTCCCCTCTCTTTCTCCTGCTCTGGCATCATAAGTACTGGCTCCTTCTTCACCTTCTGCCATAATTGGAAGCTTCCTGAGGCCTCCCCAAAAGCAGATGCTGCCATGCTTCCTGTACAGCCTGCAGAACCATGATCCAATTAAACCTCTTTTCTTTATAAATTACCCAATCTCCAATATTTCTTTATAGCAATGTGAGAATGGACTAATACCAGCAGGTAGGTGAATTCACAAGTATGGAATCTGTAAATAATGAGCATGGACTGTACCTAGAATAAACTTAACAAGAAATGTGCAAAACCAATGCATGAAAAACTTTGAAACACTCTTGAAAGATACAAAAGTAGACTGGAACATCCCTTGTTTTAGATAAGATGACTGAACATCATGAAGATGATAGTTCTCCCTGAGTTCATGTATTACTATAACACAATCCAAGTAAAAACAACAGAAAACGTTTTATGAGGCTTGAAAAATTTATAGTAAATTGGTAAACCAAAAATAAAATTATAAGCCCCCAACCATCTGAACAGCCTTCCTCTTAGGCCAGGGCACTCTAAAGTTTAACCTGAAAGACTGGTTCAGGCCCTGAGGGGAAGTGGGGGTTGAACATGC